CTGTTGCTGGTATGTTCGCCCATTCCTCCCATGCAGATCTCCTCTAGAGCAGTGATGTTTTGGGGCTGTCGCTGGGCAACACAGACTTTCAACTCCCTCCAAAGGTTTTCTATAGGGTTGAGATCTGGAGACTGGCTAGGCCACTCCAGGACCTTGAAATGCTTCTTACGAAGCCACTCCTTCGTTGCTCGGGCAGTATGTTTGGGATCATTGTCATGTTGGAAGACCCAGCCACGTTTCATCTTCAATGCCCTTGCTGATGGAAGGAGGTTTGCACTCAAAATCTCACGATACATGGCCCTATTCATTCTGTCCTGTACATGGATCAGTCGTCCTGGTCCCTTTGCGGAGAAACAGCCCCAAAGCATGATGTTGCCACCCCCCATGCTTCACAGTAGGTATGGTGTTCTTTGGATGCAACTCTGCATTCTCTCTCCTCCAAACACGACGAGTTGTGTTTCTACCAAACAGTTCTATTTTGGTTTCATCTGACCATATGACATTCTCCCAAACCTCTTCTGGATCATGCAAATGCTCTCTAGCAAACTTCAGACGGGCCCAGACATGTACTGGCTTAAGCAGGGGGACACGTCTGGCACTGCAGGATCTGAGTCCCTGGTGGCATAGTGTGTTACTGATGGTAGCCTTTGTTATGTTGGTCCCAGCTCTCTGCAGGTCATTCACTAGGTCCCCCCCGTGTGGTCCTGGGATTTTTGCTCACCGTTCTTGTGATCATTTTGAGCCCACGGGGTGAGATCTTGCGTGGATCCCCAGATCGAGGGAGATTATCAGTGGTTTTGTATGTCTTCCATTTTCTAATTATTGCTCCCACAGTTGATTTGTTCACACCAAGCTGCTTGCCTATTGCAGATTCAGTCTTCCCAGCCTGGTGCAGGTCTACAATTTTGTTTCTGGTGTCCTTCAACAGCTCTTTGGTCTTCACCAGAGTGGAGTTTGGAGTGTGACTGTTTGAGGTTGTGGACAGGTGTCTTTTATACTGATATCAAGTTCAAACAGGTGCCATTGATACAGATAATGAGTGCAGGACAGAGGAGCCTCTTAAAGAAGAAGGTACAGGTCTGTGAGAGTCGGAAACCTTGCTTGTTTGTAGGTGACCAAATACTTATTTTCCACCATAATTTGCAAATAAATTCTTTCCAAAATCAGCCAATGTTATTGTCTGGATTTTGTTTCTCATTTTGTCTCTCATAGTTGAGGTCTACCTATGATGCCAATTACAGGCCTCTCTCATCTTTTTAAGTGGGAGAACTTGCACAATTGGTGGCTGACTAAATACTTTTTTGCTCCACTGTATATAGATGTAAGGTTGTAATAGTCATAGAGCTCCAAAGAGAAATGGTATGAGGGTCCTGTAGTTTGCATTTAGACAAAATTGCCTATCAAAGAATATGGAAAAAAATATAAAGAGCTCCTTATGGGTAGTGCTAGCCTGTTGTGTTGCAGATATCTAGCAGGAGAACTAGGGGATCCATTGCATTAATATCTGTCATTACCTCGCAGCAAAGCTGTTGGATATACTGTTGGTGCAGGATCAGATCGTATGAAGGAATGTACCGGTCTCCCACTGACATTAATTTCAATGGGCTGTCCTACCCGCAGCAGAACCCCTTTAATCGTGCCTCACCAAAAAACACATGAGGTTTGCCAATGTGTGAGAGGTACTATTAAAAATGAATGTCACCCCTGCACATGTGCTAAAGAACAGTATGGTTGTCTGCATGCTGAAAATGCACACATAATGATGTGGTGGCCAGAAATTAGGTCTTGAAGCATTGCTATATCAAGTAGGCTACCCGTAATTTACAGGTGTCTGCTGGGGGACCTTGAGTGAGAACTTGAAGTCTTAAAAGGGAATGGATTGCCAAAAAGTATCAATTTATAACAGGGTCTGATATGAAATACTCATTTGTATTAGATTGTATTAGGTAACCAACCTCTAATAATGATTATTTTGTAATTGACTGTTACCTACTCATCTCTTTGGTGCTGCATTTCCTTATACACATCAAAGTCTTACATTGGCAGTTTCTGTTGTCCCCACCACCTTGGTGGGTATTGGGGGAAAGCCCACTTTACACTTCTGGTTAGTGGCAAGAGAATAGCCCTCTTACATTTGTGCTCTGTGGAAAGAATACCTTGTTACATTGGTGGCACATTGGAGGAAGAATGCTTTTTATATTAGGGGCCAGCGGGAATAATGTCCCTTACAGTAGTGGTCTGTGGGAAGCTTAGTCAGTTACAAGTAGGTAGAATACGCCTTACAACTGTGGGGAGTTGGAATCATATGCCTTACATTGGTGGTTAGTGGGTAGATGCCCCTTTCATTGGAGGTCAGGAGTGCACCATTCAATCTGTGGTGAGATTGGAAAGAATACTTTTACATTGATAGACAGTGGGAAAAATACACTGTCAGTAGGATAAATGGCCCTTTACACTGGTTATCATTTGGAAGAATGCCCCTACATTGTTGTCTAGTGGGAAGAATGCCTCCTACATTGGTGATTAGTGGGAAGAATGCACCTTACATTGGAGGTTAGTTTAAATAATACCCCTTGCATTGGTGAATATAGGAAAAAAGGATCCTACAATTAGTGGGGAGTGGGAAGATTTCCCCTTAGATTGGTGATTATAGGGAAGAATGCCTCTTATGTTGGTGGTTATAGGGAAGAATGCCCCTTTATATTGGTGGGGATAAGGAAGAATGACTACCATATTGGTGGTGAGTGGGAAGAATACCATTGCCACTCGTGATGAAGGGAAAAACCACCTTACACTGGTGGTTAGCAAGATGATTTGACTGTTACATTGGTTATCAGTGGGAAGAATGCCCCTAACAGACAGCTTTACAAGATCATTTGTTCTAGTAGTTACTTACTGGAGAGACAAGAATATGTGCCACACTGTCTATGTGCCATGTTAGGTAGGAAAAGCTTGTCAGATGGGACATAATGCCATTGTTCAGGTTTAGATGATTTCCTGATTCTTTCTACACGGTTGCTGACATACACATAAAAACGTTTAGTCTGGTTGTATATGTAGCCCAGAACAACCTTGCTGTCTGTATAGAATTTGGTGTCATCTGAGTGTCCAACTCCCGCAGTATGAAATCGGCAATTTCTACAGCTAGCACAGTTCCACAAAGTTTAAGCCTAGGAATTGTGTGCTCAGGCTTAGGTGCTAACTTAGCTTTCCCAAACAGAAACCCTATGTGGGTTTGATTAGAATCTATTACCTTGGGGTAGGCAACAGCTGCTATGGCCTCAGTAGATGCATCTGAGAAGATGTGAAGCTCTTTTCTCTAACTTGTAGCAAGGGAAGCTCAGGTGTAACAACGTGGTATACTGATTCCATCTAAGGCATGTAGAGATTGTTTCCGGGACTCCCACTTTGGAAGCTTGTCTGTAGGCAGCGGAGCATCACAATCTTTAATAGACTCTGTGAACTGTCTAAGTAAGGCTTTACCTTGTATGGTGATGGGAGCCACAAATCCCAATGAATCGTATAAGCTGTTCACCACTGACAGAACACCACGCTTGGTAAATGGTTTGTCTGCAGAGCCGACTTGAAAGCTGAAGGTATCTTTTAATAAGTCCCACCGTAGGCCCAGACTTCTCTGTACAGGTGGCATGTCTGTCCCAAGATTTAAATCTTTAAACCCAGTGGCATGATCGCCAGGTTGAAAGGCTTTCATAACAGCGACACTATTCGAGGCAATCTTGTGTAGTCTGAGGTTAGCCTCGGAAAGCATACCTTTGTCCTTTGGAGCAGGTGTCAGGGCTCCAGGTATGACCAGAGGTATGTGAACTGACGCAGGGAAACGCAGGCTTCAGATATGTTATAAATATAATTTATTAATACTAACAATACATAAACGCAGTGCAATACGAAAACATAACACAGTGCAAACAAGCCAAACCAAACCACCCACAGATAACAACACATACAATGCAAGCGAGTCAGGCAGGCCGGGTCAATAACAATCGGCAGGTAGGAACAGGAGGAGCAGGCAGAGAGTAGTCAGGTCACGAGCCGGGTACAGCAACTAACAGGCAGGTAGGTACAGGGGGTGAGGCAGAGAATGGACGGGGTCACAAGCCAGGGATCAAACAGGAGAAGTCAGCAGAGATCCGGATCAGGCAGGGTCGGCAACAAATCAGTCAGACAGGAACAGGAACAGGAATGCAGGTAACAAGATACAGGGCCCATGGCAAAAAAAAAAAACACACACCAAGGCACAGACTGCAGGTCTGGCCATCCCTTAAATACACCTGCAATCAGCCTCAGGTGTTTTGGCTGACTGCAGTGTTGAGTCTCTGATTGCTGAGAGCACCTGCTGGCCAGCCCTGGTACTGCAGCCCACAAGGCAGGTGAGTCCCACCATTATTGGCAAGTCCATTCCTGACAGTACCCCCCCCTCAAGGAGCGGCCTCAGGACGCTCCAAACAGTCCTAGCTGGGCAAAATGTTCCACCGCCCGGGTCTGGTAACTGGCGGGATATCAAAGACTGGCACATTGGGCTGGACTCCGGGCAGCGGCACATCGGGCTGGACTCCGGGCAGCGGCACATCGGGCTGGACGCGGGGCAGAGGCACAGGGCCCCCCAGGAGGGGCGGCAGGCACAGGGCCCCCCAGGCGGGGCGGCAGGCACAGGGCCCCCCAGGCGGGGCGGCAGGCACAGGGCCCCCAGGTGGAGCGGCAGGCACAGGGCCCCCAGGCGGAGCGGCAGGCACAGGGCCCCCCAGGCGGAGCGGCAGGCACAGGGCCCCCAGGCGGAGCGGCAGGCACAGGGCCCCCAGGCGGGGCAGCAGGCACAGGGCCCCCAGGTGGGGCGGCGGGTGCCGGGCCCCCAGGAGGGGCGGTGGGCCCTCAGACGGAGCGGCGGGCACCGGACCCCCAGGAGGGGCGGCGGGCGCCGAGCCCCCAGGAGGGGCAGCGGGCGCCGGGCCCCCAGGCGGAGCGGCATGCCCCGGACTCCCAGGAGGGGCGGGGGCACCGGGCCCCCAGGCAGAGCGGCGGGCACCAGGTCATCAGGCACGACAGTGGGTTCCGAGTCAACTGGCATGACCGTGGGCACTGGGTCAGACATTGGATCGTCTGGCTCGACAGCGGGCATCGGGTCACCAGGCATCAGGTCATTTGGCTTGACAGCGGGCACCGCGTCATCTGGCAAGGCAGTGGGCACCGAGTCACCAGGCATGACAGTGGGCTCCGAGTCAATTGGCACGACAGCGGGCACCGGGTCATCAGGTACCGGATCGTCTGGCTCGACAGCAGGCACCGGGTCATCTGGCGCTAGATCGTCTGGCTCGACAGCGGGCATCGGGTCACCAGGCATGACAACGGGCACTGGGTCATCAGGCATTGGATCGTCTGGCTCGACAGCGGGCATCGGGTCACCAGGCATGACAGCGGGCACTGGGTCACCAGGCATCAGGTCATTTGGCTCGCCAACGGGCACCGCGTCATCTGGCAAGGCAGTGGGCACCGAGTCACTAGGCACGACAGTGGGCTCCGAGTCAACTGGCATGACCGCGGGCACTGGGTCAGACACCGGATCGTCTGGCTCTACAGCGGGCATCGGGTCACCAGGCATCAGGTCATTTGGCTCGACAGCAGGCATCGGGTCACCAGGCATGACAGCAGGCACTGGGTCATCAGGTACCGGATCGTCTGGATCGACAGCGGGCACTGGGTCATCTGGTGTTGGATCGTCTGGCTCGACAGCGGGCATCGGGTCACCAGGCATCAGGTCATTTGGCTCGACAGCGGGCACCGCGTCATCTGGCAAGGCAGTGGGCACCGAGTCACCAGGCATGACAGTGGGCTCTGAGTCAATTGGCACGACAGCGGGCACCGGGTCATCAGGTACCGGATCGTCTGGCTCCACAGCGGGCATCGGGTCACCAGGCATGACAGCGGGCACCGGGTCATCAGGCATTGGATCGTCTGGCTTGACAGCGGGCATCGGGTCACCAGGTATGACAGCAGGCACCGGGTCATCAGGTACCGGATCATCTGGCTCGACAGCAGGCATCGGGTTACCAGGCATGACAGCGGGCACCGGGCCATCTGGCGTTGGATCGTCTGGCTCGACAGCAGGCAGCGGGTCACCAGGCATGACAGCGGGCATTGGGTCATCAGGCATTGGATCGTCTGGCTCGACTGCGGGCACCAAGTCATCTGGCAAGACAGTGGGCTCCGAGTCACCTGACAAGACAGTGGGCACCTAGTCACCTGGCATAATAGGATCATCAGGCTGGATCAGTTCATCAGGCTGGGTAGAGGCATCAGGCTGGGTAAAGACATCAGGCTGGATTGTGGGCGCCGAGGCACCAGGCTGAACCACGGAAGGCAGGTTCTCAGACGGCAGGCTCACCCGTTTGGATACTGGCAGGATGGTACTGGTTGAAAAGAATTTTCGCTTTTTTCTGGTTTTAACTACTGGAGCACTGCAAGTAAACGCAGGTCTGCAAACGAATGGAGCAGCTGAGGACAGAGAAGAGCTGGAAGATGGAACAGAGGAGGGAGCAGTTGCTACAGAGGACTTCTTTACAGGGTTAAAGAAAGGATAGGTGCAGCGAGTGGGAGCAGGGGACTGGTATGTGGTAGTTAGCAGAGTATACTGGGCCGTCACTGGGGGTGCTGTCGGGGATGTAGGAAGAGTGCCTTGAGCGGAGGAATGACGTTGTAAGCTGACTGAGGCTGGGTGCAACAAGTCTGACCATGTCTGCAGTATGGGTTGAACAAAGCTCAGCTTACACAAAGCCTGTCTGGTCAATGACTGCACTGCGTTTATACAATCCCTTAATACCTGTGGTGAACATGCAGCATAATGCTCCAAGAAGCAATCCACATCATTCTCTAATAACCATACCAGACTCTACCTGGTCTGCACTAAATGGTGGCAAAAAGTCATTCCTGCTTTCAGGGGTACCAGATGAAGCCAACGCTACACAAACCTGAATCAAAGGTTGCACCCCAGAGAACTCTGTGCCCTGATCTACTAGAACATGAGCGATCCGTATACATTCTAGCAGTTGATCCCGGGTATACTCCCTCAGAGTCTGATAAGCATATTCTCTGTCATCAAAAACCAGCAGCGACAAATACACAACCTCATCAAGATCCATCCTTCCCAGCAACAAGCCAAGATGGCTTCCCTGTGCAGCCACTTCTGGTCAGGATTGGCCTTGGTGTAATGTCAAGGCTCCAGGTATGACCAGTATGTGAACTGACGCAGGGAAACGCAGGTTTCAGATATGTTATAAACAATATAATTTATTAATACTAACAATACATAAACGTAGTGCAATACGAAAACATAACACAGTGCAAACAAACCAAACCACCCACAGATAACAACACATACAATGCAAGCGAGTCAGGCAGGCCGGGGGTCAATAACAATCGGGCAGGTAGGAACAGGAGGAGCAGGCAGAGAGTAGTCGGGTCACGAGCCGGGTACAGCAACTAACGGGCAGGTAGGTACAGGGGGTGAGGCAGAGAATGGTCGGGGTCACAAGCCAGGGATCAAACAGGAGAAGTCAGCAGAGGTCCGGATCAGGCAGGGTCGGCAACAAATCAGTCAGACAGGAACAGGAACAGTAATGCAGGTAACAAGATACAGGGGCCCATGGAAAAACACACACCAAGGCACAGACTGCAGGTCTGGCCATCCCTTAAATACACCTGCAATCAGCCTCAGGTGTTTTGGCTGACTGCAGGATTGAGTCTTTGATTGCTGAGAGCACCCGCTGGCCAGCCCTGGTACTGCAGCCCACAAGGCAGGTGAGTCCCACCATTATTGGCAAGTCCATTCCTGACAGCAGGTCTATGGCTTCTTCGTCTGTAGGTAAAGACTTAAGTCCATCGTCAACATAAAAGTCTCTCTCAACGAAGTGTCGAGCATCCGCACCATACTCCTTTTCTCCATCAAGGGCAATCCTTCGTAAACCATATGTTGCAACAGCGGGTGAGGGACTATTTCCAAAAACATGTACCTTCATGTGGTATTCAATGATCTCATTGTCCATGTTGTTGTTACAGTGCCACAGAAACCTTAGGAGGTTCCTATGGTCTTCACGTACAATGAAGCAATTAAACATTTGCTCAATATCAGCAGTTATGGCAACTGGTTCTCTTCTAAATCTCATAAGTATGCCTACAAGGTTGTTGGTTAGATTCGGGCCAGTGAGAAGAACATGTTCAGGGATATGCCTTGATGCTTGGCACTGGAGTCAAATGCTACCCTGATTTGTTTTGGCTTACGTGGATTATACACTCCAAAGAAAGGTAGGTACCAGCACTCATCATGTCTTTGAAGTGGTGGCGCTGGTTCGGCGTGATCATTGTCAAAAGATCCTTTTCATAAAAGCGATGAAATGTTCCTTAACTTCAGGCCTGTTCTTTAGTGTTCGTTGAAGTGAGTTGAATCTGGATAGAGCCTGTTCACGATTGGTTGGGAGTGTGGCCCTTGCAGCACGAAGAGGTAATGGTGCGATCCAGCTGTTAGACTCATCCTGGAAGAATTCTTCGTCCATTATTTTGATGAACTCTCTATCTTCGACTGACAAGGCTATTTTGTTGTCATCACTTGTAGTACAAAACACTGTGGTACCTAGGTTGTCATTACAAAGAACAGGAGTAACATCAGGTACTTGGATGATGTCAAGAGGCTTCTCCTTTACTTCATAATGGTGAGGGCACTGTTTGAAGTGGGATGCACGTCCATTTCCCAACATGTAAGTTTTGAAGGAGTGGATCTCAGATGATGTTCTGTCCAGGCATACATCGCCCACTATTACCCAGCCTAGGTCAAGTCTTTGTGCATACGGGGCATCGTTAGGTCCATCGCATTGGTCGCGTACTTTATGTACTCTGAGAATGTGTCTTCCTAGCAGGACCAAGATTTCAGCACTCTTGTCCATCACAGGAATCTCATCAGCAAGGTGCCTTAAGTGAGGATGATGATATGCAGCTTCTGGAGTAGGAATCTCTCCTCTTTCATCTGGTATCTGATCACACTCAACTAATGTTGGGAGGGGTATGCCTTCTCCATCCTTGATATGAGAGACCATGAATCCATCGACCCTTCTGCCAAAGGTCTCTACACGACCAGCACAGGTTCTGAGAGTATACGGTGTGGCGTGACCTTCTAAGCCAAAGATCTCAAAGAATTTAGGCTTAACCAGGGATCTGTTGCTCTGTTCATCTATTATGGCATACATCCTAGCAGCTTCCTCAGGATGATCCTTTGGATATACCTTGACTAGGCATATCTTGGCACAGCATTTGTGATCCAGTCCCTCTCCACAGACTTCTGTGCATGAAGAAGAAACATTACTTTTGGCTAGAGCATGACTTTGTTGCTCCCGCCATAATTTGAGACAGGGGTTGAGGTAGGTAGCTGCTGCGGGTTGTCTGGAAGTGGAGTAGGATGCATGGCTGTAACATGTCTGTCGCTACCGCATTCTGTGCACTTGATGACAACTTTACAGTCTTTAGCAAAGTGGTAATAAGAAGCACAGCACTTGTAGCATATTCCAAGTTTCTGGAGAATCTCCCTGCGCTCTTGTAAAGTCTTTTCCCTAAGCCCACGACATTTCTTAAGAGGGTGAGGCTTCTTGTGAATAGGACACTGACGATTAGGGTCTTTATCTCTGGCATCCACAATGCCTTGGTCAGTAGGTGAGGTTGTGGAGGGTGAGATGTCTGTCCTTTTAACAGATATTGCTCTAGTACAGTCTCTACGTTTAGCTGCTGTGTTATCATACCTTGATGATGATGAGGATGAAGCAGGCAAGTTTGGTTCACTGAAGCTGAAGCTGGGATCGTTTCTCATCCAGGCTTGATCACTAATGAACCTGCAAAAGTATGAGAATGGAGGAAAGGATACGTTATAGTCTCTTTTGTACTTTGAGCCCTGTTGTGCCCATTTCTCTTGCAGGCCGTATGGCAGTTTAGACACCACTGGGTTGACACCATCAGCGGTGTCCAGGAAGCTTAGTCCAGATAGACGTGGGTCTGTCTTTGCCAACTCTAGCTCCATGAGGAGGTCACTTAGATCTTGGAGCTTGCGATAGTCTCTGTTTCCTATTTTTGGAAAGTTTTGCAGTCTCTTGAATAGAGCGCTCTCTATGGCTTCAGAGCTACCATAGGCTTGCTCAAGTCTTGCCCATGCAGCAACAAGACCTGCGTCTGGGTGGTCAACATGTACTGTTCTCAGTCTTTTAACACGATCTGCAGATTCTGGTCCCAGCCACTTTATGAGCAAATCAAGTTCTTCATTAGTAGTAAGGTTGAGATCAGCAATAGCAGCCTTGAAGGTTGATCTCCAGGCCCTGTAGCTCTCTGGACAGTCGTCAAACCTTGAGAGGCTGGTGTTAATGAGCTCACGGCGAATCATATATCTGGCAAAGTCATTCAAGCCTGATCTCTCACTCTTTGGTGCCAAAGTAACTTGTGGAACCCCTTGGGTGTGAAAGTTCTCTGGTGATGTAGGGTGAGGTTTACCAGGGTAAAATGATGTTGCATGAGCGTTTAACTGTGGTGTAGTCTCTAAGGCTTGTGTTGGCTGTGGCTTGAGCTGCGACTTGTCACTGGAAGTCACCTTGTTGTTGGCAGGAGTTGATGTGGTTTGCTGCATAGATGTACTTGTGTTGTAGATTTGAAGAGGCTTAGGCATATGGAGCTGAGAGGTCTCTGTGTTGAGAGTCAGAACAGTGTTGTTAGTAGGAGGTACAGGAGATGACTCTGTATCTTCGCAAATGTTATGCTTTAATACGTATTCACTGGTGCGTTCAACTGGATCTTTCAGTTCTGCTGGGATAAGGCAGTCTGAATTAGTACTTTGTCCATTTGCTTGTTCAAGGACTTTCAGCCTTGCTAGGGAAGCTGCTTCCTCCCCTTC